GCCATCTACCAAGTTGGACACCACCGATGACACATCGAGATTGTTGACGTCCGTGTTACAGAGTGTGTGCACCACTTTTGCAAACGGAATAAGTCCCCTACAAATCAGCTCTTGGAACTTCTGGGTTTTAATATCCGGCCATCGGCTGTTAGGATCCATGATCCGCCAAATCTCCGACTTCACCCGAGGAGGCTTTAACTTGCAGCAATTTTCTGGTCGTACCTGCCTGTCAAGGATCTCCGACTTTTGCTTATCTTCTAATTTTGTAACCATTAATCCTTCGACTGAGGTAGCAATTTCTGGGTCTAAAGGCGTTGAAACTTCCGTAACTTCTATCCGACTTTACATTTGCACTGAATCCGACTGCGCATGCGCAATCTCATGTGGTCTCTCATATTACCTGGTACCGAGGGAGAATGGAGAATAGTACGGTAATTCTTTGTATTCTAAGCATTGGGGCAAACAATTCCAATCAGTTTATGAGTACTATTTCATCTATTTACAAACACCTTTTGATCACTCTCCCCATAATTATCTTATATCACAGATGTAATAAGCGAAAAGAAACAATTACAAAAAACTATTTTTTTATTATGTAATGTGCTATTTGGCGAATACATGAAAAAATACATTGAATTCTAAAAGTCATAAACAACCTTCAGGTTAAAAGTACTCTACATGTATACATATACTGAACAAACAAGTTTCTGTTTAGAAGTGAGTAGACATAAGTCCAATTTCGTTTTGTTCCACATTAAGATCTAACATGCATATACATATGACATAGTCAACTGTTTCTTGTTGTGCGTAACAAATTATGTCAATATCAATAACCATGATGACCTGGGATAGAAATCCTGAGCGAAGCCATTACAGCTTGGAATAGAATGCATGAAAAACATAATGCCACATAAAATAAATTACTTTACAAAAAATGGGTAGGTAGGGCGGATTTTATTTTTATTTTCTAATATTTTTTTGGTCATTTTCTATACATTGTTAGTCGAAAACTTGGATTGCCGGAAACTGAGGCGGATTTCGGAATTCTAAGGGCTTTATACACGCAAATTTACCAGTGTAAAAATGACTTTAATATTAGGGTAGGGCCAAATTGTAGGGTCCGGCGGTAATGAGAAACAACCAATTATTCTTATGTGGCCTTTGTCAACAGAAGAACCCTCAAATGTATTTGTACCACCTGGCAGTTACAGGAATTCACTGTAACCTGCAACAAAATATCAGACGCAAATGCCATGCTTCTGACCATAGTACTTGTGGTCGTACAGTGATCTTCTCTGACCAAACAGAAAGTCCTATATCTCTAGCTACATGCATTCCCGGCTTCACAACTTCACTTCCGGTTTAGGATTAAAACCGTAGGAAAAACGTGGAGAATGCATTACATCTTTCTAAAAGAGTCCCACCACTAAAGGTATCTACTCTAGAAAGCCCCATTCACTGGACATCGGTCTTTAGTTTCAACATTTCGGTACACATTGATGCAGAATCTTTTTCGGATGACCATTCAGGAAACCTGGCCTTCAGTGAAGGTCATTCTACACCTTACAACTTTAATGCCTCATCCAGATGATGATATATCGGACTACAGTTAAAACGTATAGAGTCATAAACATTTGTAAGCATATGACATTGTTGGTATTTTCGAGTAAAAGTGTAAGTGGACTTTGGAATTAGGTTGGCTTGTACCGAGTTTTATTGACCTGGTTTCTTTCCTCATTTCCCTTAAACGGGCTTCTGGCTATGACACCGTGAATGATCTCACAAAAGAACAAATATACATCCAGTATTGGGTCAAAAGGTATTTTCGTAACGACTGCTTATGACATCTTTGTCTGAAATCGGAATTAAATCATGTCCTCAGATATTAGCATTTTAACTGACGAAAAATTGTATACAAAATTTCGGCATAATAAATTTAGTGGTTGGTAAAATTGGATGTTAAAAATTAAAAATGCAGCACGTCATATTTATGGCCATGACAGATTAAAGATAAAAATTGCTCAACATTTGAATACATGATGGCCCATAAGCTAATATCTGTCAATCAGTAAATCCAAAATGGCAGCGCCAGATGATCAGTCTTGTTTATATTTTGAAACGCATGTCATACCAAGTCAAACCAGTGATAACAATTGTATGAATGGATCACTGAAAAATAGTGATGACACCAGGTGTTCCCGAAATTTGTAGGCTCTGTCCAGCTCTAAAGGTAGTTTGTTTCTTAACAAACAATCGACTCTGAATCATACAAACCAGTGTTATGAGAGAACGTTTATACTAGCTTTGTTGAAACTCACAAGATATGTTAACTTTGATTTATTTCTGCTATTTAAACACGCAAGAGACTAAGTTATTCTACATTGATCTCAGCCTAGGTTCAAGTAATTTCAGAGATATCTCAGCCTAGGTCCAAGTTATTTCAGAGTGATATCAGCGTAGGCCCAAGTTATTTCAGAGTGATATCAGCCTAGGTCCAAGTTATTTCAGAGTGATATCAGCCTAGGTCTAAATTATTCTGAGTGCTATCAGCCTAGGTCTAAATTATTCTGAGTGATATCAGCCTAGGTCTAAATTATTCTGAGTGATCTCAGTCTAGGTCTAAATTATTCTGAGTGATCTCAGTCTAGGTCTAAATTATTCTGAGTGATCTCAGTCTAGGTCTAAATTATTCTGAGTGATCTCAGTCTAGGTCTAAATAATTCTGAGTGATCTCAGTCTAGGTCTAAATTATTCTAGAATGATCTCAATCTAGGTCCAAGTTATTCTAGAGTGATCTCAGCCCAGGTCCAAGTTATTCTAGAGTGATCTCACCCTAGGCCAAATTGATTTGAGCCGGTTATTGAGTTGAGCCCCTTAGCCGGAACTACTTTCAGTCAAAATCGATGACCAGTGTAAGATCATAAAATTCATTCTAGCAAATACTTTTCAAATAGAAGATTTGTCGTATTGTAAAAAATCTTGTGTATTTCATTTCGTGACCTGCAAAATTGACATTTGAGTCATTCGTGGTTTCCCCACACATGAAATATCCACTTTATAGATTACTCGATGTGCTAAACATTTATTTCACATGAAAAGACACATACACACATAATTATATGTATATAAATCTATATCTTCTAAACATAAATCTATAACTTTGAATCTATATAAATTCCTATCAAATGGTATATGTCTTACAAATCAAGATATGCCAGTACCAATAACGCATATAATTAACCACAGTCAGGTGGCTACCTAATCCCTGAAGTGTGGCATGTAAGCTAGTCCCTGAGATAGAACACATCAACTGTGCATAAACCCAGCCCCTAAATTATACCATGTCAGCGAGTGATAAACCCTGTGCTTGAAGTGCACGTCAACCTGTCATAAACCTACCACCTGAGGTGAAGCACATTGGCGGGTCACCAACCAACGTAGCATATGTTGTATTTAGGATTGCACTTTCGCAGTACAACACAGATTCGAGTACCCAAGTGACACACAAATTCAGCGATCTAACCCACTTAGCCACCGGGGATTCCACAAAAATGGAAGTCGGACAACTGGTATTCTCGATCACGTACTTTGTGTAGGTTATAACTAACACGGCTTTCATGGCCGAAAGCTGTGAATGCGCAAAGCCGTTTAGAAAATGGTCCAATATAACATATGTTATATTTAGGATTGCATTTACTCAGTAAAGTACAGATTCGAGTACTTGTGATAGGTCGAATCCCATACTGGATTCTAACTTCAACTGTCAGGCACTAATCGCCAGAACGTGAACATATAACATGTTACATTTGGACACTTTCTAAATGGCATTGCGCATTCATTGGGGCACAAAACAGTCCCTAGAATCTGTCGTGTCTACTATTCATAAACCCAATCCATGAAGTGAATCTCATCAGCTTTTGAAAATCCAGTCCCTGAAGCATGGCGCTTCAGCTTGTCAGAAACCCAGTCCGGCAAGTGTATGGCGTCAGCTAGCAAGTGAACTATGAGCTTTAGGTCAGGCTCGTTAACTGGTCATAACTGAGTACCAAAAATATAGCACGCCAGCTAGTCATAAATCCAGTCCACGAAGTGAAGTACACCAGCTAGTCATAAACCTAATGTAATTAAACTTGGATTTTAGTTTTCGCTACTCACCAAACAGAGAACTTGGGACAACCCATTACGAGTCTCCTCAAAACGACCTTTCATCCGACCTATATCAACATCGCATACCCGATCAGGAGAGTGACAGTCGAAATGTGTTTTTTAATCATTCAACTTCGGATTTTCCGAACGACAGTTACAGGCTTTAAGTCGGAAAATCAAGGTCTATCTCTCGCTTCCATTGGTGCCGCATAGCTCGTAAAACAACTTTCTAATTGGCTTAGTCTGGTATTTGTTTGTAATTGCATTGTTTAGACAAAGTTCGCGAAATGTGGTTTTTGACGTGACCTGCTATGGAACCATGAGATCTTTCTTACAAGTAGTGGTCAGTAAGATCTGATTTTACTGGGGTTGGGTCATATAGTCTTATACCAAGTCACTGAAGCGTAGGGCGTCAATTAGTCATAACACCAGTCCCTAACGTTTGGCGTGTCAGCTTGTCATGAACCCAATCCCTGAATTGCGGAACGTTAACGAGAGAAAAAACCAGTCCCTGAGGTGTAGCAAATCCCCTAGTCATATACCCTGTCGACGAGGTGAAGCACGTCAGCTATTTCAAAATCCAGTCCTTGAAACACACCAACTACACATAAACCAAGACCCTGTTTCAGAAAAGCGATCTTAGCGCTACGATTGCGCAGCTCAATGTTAAAATACGAGAGTTACGATAATCTTAGTACTGGTCGCATTATGAAACGGGGTCCAGATCCCAGTAGTTCAGGGGCCCGTTTCACAAAGCGATCATAGAGCTACGACTGTCGTGAGTCTATGTTGAAGTATGAGAGTTACTGTCACCTTCGAGCTACGATCGCTTTGTTAAATGCGACCCAGTTGATCGTAACTCCCATACTTTAACATAGACTTACGACAGTCGTAGCGCTACGAACGCTTTGTGAAACGGGCTCAGTTCCTTAATTCTCTACAAGTGTGTCGGCTATTAAGACATAACGTCTTCTTTAGACCCAGGAGGATTCACGGTTATCTCGATGTCTCGATCTATAAACGAGGACAACTCGTTTGCTGTCTTCTCATCCATGGCTTCTCTTCCGGGTTCTGGCGTTTCATCTTCCTGAAATATTGTACAACGTACAGTTCAATCTAACCCGATAGAGAGACGGCAAATGCATGTGAATACTTTCGTTTTCTTGTTGAATCTCGGCGGGTTTTGAACATTCTTTCAGCTGTTTCAGCCGATATCACTAAGTGTGTTCAAGGGGCCTGGTGAGTTGGGTTTAAAGCCGTTTTTAACAGTATTCTAGTTATATCACTCCGTTTACAACTTTGGTGAGTGCTATGAGCACGGGATTTGTGGCGATATACCCTGTAATAATAATCGTGTCGCACCGGGATTCAAATCCACAATCATCAGAGGTTCTGGCGTGCGCAAGGGGCGCATCTGTGCATAGCGGAGCGTTATGCGAATGAGCCATGGTTCAAAATATAATGTAGTTCCTGAGAAGCTGTGAGTGAGTGAATGAGTGAGTGAGTGAGTATGGTTTAACGCCGCCTACATCAATATTCCAGCAATATCACGGCGAGGGACACCAGAAACGGGCTTCACACATTGTACCCATGTGGGGAATCGAACCCGGGTCGTAGGCGTGACGAGCCAACGTTTTAACCAATAGGCTACCCCACCGTCCCTTGAGAAGCTGTGAGAGTATGAGGGCGGAGAATCAGAAAAATCACACCTTGTAACTAGCCGAACAGCAGTTGGGTTGTGTGTCATAAGGATCTTACTTCAGATATTGTCGGGGCTGTGGGGTAGCCTAGTGGTTAAAGCGTTCGCTCGTCACGCAGGGTTCGATTCCCAAAATGGGTACAATGTGTGTAGCCCATTTCTGGTGTCCCCCGCCGTGATATTGCTTGAATATTGCTAAATGCGGCGTAAAACCCATACTCACTCACTCAGATATTGTCAACATTGAGACTTAAATTTACTCTCCTTCAAACGGCCTTCTTGTGATCCAGTCTCACCTGGAGTATTCAGTTATAAAGTATCCACATATATTTCAGCATGATCGGTTAAGCCAGTACACAGCTGATGTGGTTACCTGTTGGTGATTAATCCCACATCTACACGCCTCCCTCCACTTGGCCGGCAGACAGCAGCAGATGACGTCAAACAGGGGACAGATCAGACGCGGGTCAATCTTCTCGATGTCCTCAAAGCCTGTAATTATTCAGTTGACTGAATACACCCAGGTATAAGCAGGATGAATCGTGTATGGGCAAGGAGGACATGCTCGGGAATCAAAGCTGTAAACATACTCGGGAATAACCTGGTTTCTTCACAGATTTACATTGATCTAAACAAACATTTTCCACCATGCTACCATTATTTTGCCTTGGATGCCCAGTGGAATCTGTTTCGGTTGATAATCGACACTAAATATTTCTATAATGTATGATATGTTCTGTGCCAATTTAGCACGTACTATTTAACCGAAGCGGCGTGAACGATAGATTTAATAATTTAGTTGCTTTTTACTGTTAAGCGAGAATATGGTCGTCACCAACTATTAAGATTCATGTTGGCATGAGCAGCGCTCACCCGAATAAAAAAATCAACCCCATAACTAGTAGTATTGTCACCAGGTCAATTTAATGGCGATCGGGGGATGGTTGTCCTATATTTCTTAAGCCCAACTCTTACGCACCCACTAGAAGCGCACACCTGGTGTCGTCAGTTAAGTTTTCAATGTCATGGGTGTCAGTCTCAATGAAGTTGTCGGTCTCATTTTGGGGTTTTCCCCGCATCAAAAGAGATTATACGTGTTTGAATTTCTCTTGGCATTTGATATTTTTCATCATGTACCCACCTGTGAAGTAGCTGACAGGCAAGCCAACACCCAGGACAATCAGCACCGCAGTGAAACTGTACCACAGGTAGGACAGGCCGTACAGGCTATTCAGAGGACTCCTGCAAACAGACGTTGCAATCACAGAACAGTTTAAGAGATTGCTCCTAAAAGGTATACGTCCATCTATGTTAATGGTGACACAACATTAGAGAAATTATTAGCACCTTTAAACACCATTATATAATCACATAAAAGGTGACTGTGGTGACTCACACATCGGTGAAACCTCAAGACCCCTTCCTGTAAGAATCAAAGATCACAAAATCTCTGTGAAGAACAAAGATTTCTGACCACATCCAAGCTCACCCAGGCCAAAAGATCCTTTCGAACAGCATCAATGTACTCACCAGCTATCACACACACTACAAGATCAGGATTACTAGAATCAAATTTGAGGTGTACCAATACACTTCCTGAACAAAAAGCTGGCATTCTTACCAGTCCTCCACTGCTTCGGTCACGTTTAAAACAGTGGGTGTCGTTGTGACGTTGTAGGAGGCTAGCGTTGACAAAGTGGCGTTGACGTCATATCCGGGTGAGGTGTACATAGTTGTTGACGTTATGTTCCAGTTGCATCCCGTGATACTGATTGGACTCTTATTGGCTGGTAGCTTAGCAACGTGGGCACCAATACCGATCCAGAACATCATAAAGAGGCTGGTGAACAGGCCAGAATATGCTCCCTGGGGAGAGTACACAAACTCTATAAGTAACACCACATAGAAATTACATGTACATGGCTGATACCATGAGCGTCAGCCTTGACCCAAGGTTATGGCCTTGTACTGACTGCTAAGCCCATAGGTGTATAATTAGTCTATCCTTTGAAGAGGCAGGTTTACATAGGCGGACAAGGACGCCAGTCTGTTAGTGGGACAATGAGTTCTCTTTATTTATATTCTTTAGAAATTATGATTAAATCTATAAATCATAGTCTTAGAGACTTGTGCAAGTCTACATGAACATCTATCCGCCGGGTCAGGGTGACATACTCAAGCAGTTTAAACATTTGAAGGTTGCCATGGTAACCCGAGAATAATCCTATACTATGGTGAACAGGAGCCACCCCAGACTAACATCTTGTCTCTGAAATGAACATATTTTACAGAAAAAAACTGTTCATAAAGAATAATCATAAAATATAATGAAAAGGAGCCAAGAAACTTGAAACTGTGGAAATCTAGACTTGCATGCGCTTCCTTGGATATATTGGTTTCAGGATCAGACTAGAGCCACCCTAACCGCACGTTTTTGTGATACATTACAAAATGCAAAAATATTTATTTTAAACGGAATACCCCTCCGAAATCCCTACGGGTACACATACCCATTTGTTGGCCCAAGGAAACAGCATTCCCAGCGTGAAGAGTCCAAGCATGGGCGCTCCCAGCATTCCAAACAGAGACAACGCCGCCTGGTGAGATACCATTGAAGCATAAATGAGTGAGTGAGTGAGTGAGTGAAATTCATATGGGAGGAGAACAATGTGTGTCACAGTTTGCAGACGTTGACACTTCTGAGAAACCTACGTTTGGTGAATGATGCCAACGGAACAACACTCCTCATCAGGACCAAGCTCCTTCCCAGTGCGTTACACTTTCGTCATCGATATAGAGCTCTCCGCGAACTAGCTGTCGCTGTTAAGAGCTAAATTGAAGGTGAAGTGAAGGTCGCAACTTAACGCGAAATACGGCACCTTACACCACACATTCGTCACCACTCGCCCCTTTCCGTAACCTCCAAGAAGTCGCTATTCGGCTTGTCCCGGAATAACACGAGTTGGTCACGAATGTACACCACAAACAATATTCACCAATTATCCAGATACGAACACAGTGTGCATGACAACGCTTATAATTTGTGTGGGATATGAAAAGCAAATTTATTAAAACCTTTCAAAAACTTTTAAGTTATATTAGAACTGTCTTGTCAAAGGCTGCAACTGAAAATACTGAGATTTTGAGGACGTTAGACAATTGAAACCGGGCTGGCTACCTGTAGAATTTCGCCGAGTTTGGAGGCGACCCACGTCAGTCCCAGGCAGATGACACCGAACACGACAGCTGCAACAAAGACTGATATTGTCAACAGTGCTTATATAGAGTGTGTGTTCTGTTATTATGCCACAGAAGAGTCTACCTTTAGTAGCTTTCATAAGCCAGAGCTTGTTATTACATCGGAGAGATGAAAAAACCCCAGCAAAATATAATGATAAACTTTCTGTGATGATCTTCTCATTACATAATGTGCACTGTAGTGCATGTACCAGTACAAGAAATACAACTGAAAGTGAGAGATAAGTACTCCACCTCAAAAACTTTCAAATATGAATATATTTCAGATTGACCTGTGTTATTTTGATAATTACGAGCACTAATATCGATTGTGTTTGTTGCAACAATCAGTTCTGAAGAACTTATTACAGAATTTGGGAATTGAATTTCTTTTAGTTGAGGCCACATATCAAAGAAGTGCAGGAAAATACTTTCAGCAAGTGAATAGAAGAACACTGAAACACTAAAAACAGCAAAATGGAATCTTTGTTGCTCTGCTACTCGCCTATGATCTTGGAGATGTTGGTGGCTCTGCTTTCGCTGATTCCTTTGAGAAAGTATGGTTTGAGAATATCCTGGAGAGTCACAGCTGCCAAAGAGTTTAGTCCGGAAGATATGGTGCTGTAAATGTGACACATAAGATATATACCATCTGTCTGGACAAATTGTTATTGACATTGTTATTATTCATCACTTGTCTATAAATGCGTTTTGTATATTTCATTTCAACCGCGTATACCATAATACTAGAAGATATATAAAATAAACCATTGTTGTAAAGCCAAGGTGTTTGTAGACCGACCTGAGGGCGCCACTGAAGATGGAGGCGACAAACAGACCCGGAATCCCAGGCACATGGCCTAACACATCCATCACAAATAGTGGGAACAGCTGCAACATGGAAGTGGACATCAACACGTCATTGTATATTTCTGATCAAATTTAAAACTTAGATGAAAAATATATTTGTGAAATATTGTAATATCACCAGCATATTACCCCATGCAGAAGTGACCTGGGAAGATCCGGGTTATAATTGGTCTTGAGGCTCTTTGGGTGATCAGACTCGTTGATTTGGTTGGCACATGTCATCGTATCCCAATTCTGTAGATCGATGCTCATGCAGCTGATCACTGGATTGTCTGCTCCATACTCGATTATCAACAGACCGCCGTCATAAAGCTAGAGTGTTGCCCAGTGGGGCGTTAATATCAAACAAACCATATGGGAGTATGTTTCGTGTTGATGAGAGCCAAACACAAGAACATTTTATATAAGTCCAATAGTAGAAAGGGGAACCGTTCTGATGAAGTCAGTCAGCCCGACATGCATTAGGCATGGTAAGTATTTAATCAAAATCATAGGTAAAGAAGCGGAGAAAACGGAAGAATATATTGGCCCAACAATCGTTATTGTTGGAGTTTGGTTCATTTGTTACATCTCAAAAAGGTTAACGCCAGGTGTTCTTAACGTCTTTACACTTCGTGTGAAGCGATCGAGATTACCTGGTCAGAGGCGAATACAAGACCGTAGCTAATTGGATCACAGGTTGCGTAGAAGGCGGACATAACGATGCCGATCATGCTGCAGAGCACGAGGATGATGCAGAGGCCGGGGGCGTTGATCCAGAGGGCGCTGCAAGGAAAGCATTGAACATGAACATGAACATTGAAAACTTGGTTGAGGGAGTATGTTTTGTCTAGCGCAATTTTGAGTGATATCACAGTTATATTAAGGAGTGTCTGCTTGGCTGGAAGGGGTGTAGTTGTGGTGGTGATGGTAGGGGAGGGGGAAGGGAGCTCGAAGTGATGCAAGTCATAGACGTTCACAATGTATTCTTACAATTCTATCTTAAGTACCTACATTAACTTATATTTGCTACAAACATCATATATTTTATATTGTGTAATATGAAAAATGACCACCTACATCTGAGCATCCTTCAAAGAGGAGCACGTGAGAGCTCTCTGGACCTGTGCTTGGTTGGCTCCATACACTGACGCCCATAGGAAGCCAGCGCCAATTGTCAGAGACCAGAAACTATGGCGCACAGTCGGGTCAACGCTGAAACTGTAAACACATGGACATTGTAGTATTTGCCAGTCAGTATTTATTTCCTTTATATTTAATATCACTGAGATATAGACACTTTGGAAAATACTGCTTGACAGGAGGTTTCTTTAAGGCCACTGAGGTTGGAATATTGCCTCTGTTCACCCGTCAGTGAACAGATTTTAGGAATACTACAGCAATATCGATGTCATCAACGCTAAAAAGGGCTTCATTCATTAATCAAGTGGTGATCCAAACTGTCTTTTCGTAACGAGCTCAGGTCTAGAGTGTCCTATCAATTTTGCAATGAGTGGGTAACCGGAAGGATGAGACTTGGAATTTGAATTCCAATAAGAATCGCCAGCTTGGGTTGCTTGCATACTGAAAAATGGGATGTCGATGCAAGATGAATACACACTAATCCGTTGCCCGGGATCACACAATGAAAGTTTCTTGGCTATGGAATTTGAATAATTGAGATATTGCAGTAGAATATAAGGTCAGCAGGTGTGAAGACTATACTCCAGCTACACCGTGGTGACTTGACAGCTCGGAACACTGCCAATATGATTCAATAGTGCATCTACTTTATAACATACCAATCGCCTGATTCGACCATCTTTGGTTCACGACCTGATACTGCAACGTATTTGCAGGCAGCTTTTACTGATAAAAAGAATTTCAACAAACATGCACGGTAATCTCGTGTTTCCGTGGTGTCGGGGGCATCACACGATTGACGTCAAAGATTGACTGGATATATACAGGCATGCAAGACGTCAATGATGGACCTGATATGATGAGGGACACAGAATGTCAAAGGTTGACCCGATATAGCATCTGTTGACTTGTCAGCTTAGAACTTATTTTGGCGTATAGGCATAGCCAAAAATGGCTGACAAACTTCTTGATCAAAAGATAAATTGCTACATAAAGAGCATACTTGATCAGATGCCAGTCATATGTTTTCTCACGCCAGGTGTTTCAGAGAGTACATCTGTCGAAAGAAATGCAATCAAATTAGTTTCTACAGGTGAGGGGAAATGGGTTTTAACGTCGAGTGCAAGATCCTTCCACATACATATATTCGGGCAGTGGGTCCAAGCTGACTAGCCCTTGTTTTGTCCCCCTGAATAACGAGCGTCTGGTAAGGTAACTGTATAACAACAAGTGCCGTCTTTTAACGTACTTTGGTATGTATAGGCTGGGGATCGAACCCATACCTTCTCCTTTCCGTACAGACGCTGTGTCCACATGACCACAGAGGTGGTCCGTAACTACTCCGTGTTAGACGTTGTACAGTTGTTGTCAATTGTTTGAGCCACCATTCACTCACTCACTCTGAAAAGTACACTCTGTGGTTGTTCTCGGCTATCTCCCACGCCTTGCCGAAGCCGCCTATCTCTATACACCCCTGGATCATAGCTGCCGCTAGTCCCGCCAGCATCATGAAGATCTGGAACGTGTCCGTCCACAGCACCGCCTTCATCCCACCCTGAAATAAATACATGAATAAATGAAGGAATGAAAGGATGAATGAATGAATGAACAGAATGAAAGGATGAATGCATGAACAAGGAACGCTATTTTATCATTCAGTGAATGAATGAATGAAAGGATGGATGAATAAATAAGTAACGCTTATTTTGTCATTGAACGAATGAATAAATGAAAGGATGGATGATAGATGAATGAATAAGTAACGTTTATGTTTTCATTCATAAATTCAATTGCAAACAGCTAGGCTTGAAACTAGATGGATGCCGCACATTTTCGATAAACATCCTTCAAATGTTTATCTTACACAAAATGACATGGAAAGGTGTTTAATCAGTCTAGCTTTGTAAACATATACTCTTTAAAGGACTTATCACAAAATTCAATAGGCTAAGCACATTAATACATGTTATTATAGGACACCGAGAATTATTACAATATTTAATAACTTAAACAAATGAAACTGTTGCTATTATCATTATTTACCAAATTGATCATTTTAAAAAAACTAACGAACTTGTATCATCCTATGCTCAACATTGATGCAACATTTAACATAAGCACATGAAGGACCTTTCATTATCACAAGCCGGATAAAGGTCATACACAATTGAACAACATAAACATTTTAGCCCCTGCTATTTATCGTGATTAATGATATATACTGGACAAAATGAGTTGTAATATAAAATATTTGTATTTTTATGATTGATATTATCAGTGTGTCAATGAATAAATAGATCATTGTTCATAATTTCAAAATTTACATATATCCCTATTTTTGTCCAGTATAGTTTTGAAAATTCACTTAAAGGGCAGGTTTATTTAATCTTCTTAAAGCATGTAACAGCTGAAGGTGATAGCTGGGTTGCCAAATGTACGATCAAATATCAACATGATCTGAATGACGTACTTCATATACTATCTCATCGAAGGGGTAAGTCCCCTTATCCCTGTATCGGAAGATGTTAAAAAGATTTTCGTTTCAATTTCTAAGATGCCAACCCTGTGTAAAATGACTAGCAACTTGGTGATGGGTTGTATCTCTTATATTATCCTCATCATCTTGAAACAATGTAGGCATAAAATACTGATTTTCACAAACTGGACATAACAACTCCAATAGTAAGCTTGAAACTTATGATGACGTATTCACAACTATCGACACAAACGGGGATGTCATACATAAGCAAACTCCATCAACACTCCCGGATGATGATCGAGTATATGTCATTGTAATGACACCTTAAGCATTTATTCTGATTCTACATGTTGTAGCACGTATGGGTATCACTGTGTGTTCCTGTCTGGTTAGAGTGAGGAACTATGTGCTTGGATCCAACATCTATTGCTACACACTAGGCTAATGAACAAATACGTATATACATAGGTATGTCTTACAATAGCTGTGTAAAACGTACAAACAATCCCGACTGCGGCAACCGCTCCCCATAGAGACAGGCCTGTCACTGAAACAATAACAGATCACCGTTGCAATATGAATTGGGCAACAACAACAACAGCAACAACAACAACAGCAACAGCAACAGCAGCAAACAAAACAAATAAGAACAGCAAACCCAAAACACCCAAAGAAACCAAGTAAGAGTATACAAAAAGAACCCGACAGCAACACGCCCCTCCCCCAAACCCTCAAAGTAAGAAAACCCACCCCACCCCTACCCCGCAAAACAACCCCAAAACAAAAACAAAACAACAAAAAACAAACTCAAAACACTTTCAAGGAATACATAGAACAATACCTCACAACAATGCATAGAACATTGTTGGGCAGTACACAACATATATTATGCAGTTCCTAAATATTACACAATGCATAGAGCAATGTTGCTTATTGCATAGAACAAGGTTACATAATACGTAGAACAATTCAACGAAATACATAGAACAATACCCCACAATATATTGGACAAGGCTATACAACATACTTGTCCTACAACACCACATAAATTATACACATGAAATTAATTAAGCACCACCTGACTCAAGGGCATTTAAAAAGAACTGGACCAATTGTACCCACTGATTTGAAAGATGGCAGTACTAAAGCATGTCCTTCCTCAAGATGGCATGACTTAGACTTTTAGAAAATGTACAATGGTAAGTTATTGGCATGCATGACGGAGGGAAATCCTGTCGTAACGTTGGTGTTAACTTGAACATGGATCATAAAGGATAATAATGTGTCCATTAATAATGAGTCCATTTATATAGCGCCAAGCTTCACACAAGGTATGCTCATAGCGCTAACAATCAATAGCACAGCGCATTATTACCCCGGATAACCCAAGCTGTCTGTGAGGCGCTAGAAGGTTATAGTCGCATGACTTGTTTCACCATTTTCCTGCTGGGTGAACAGAGGCAATTTTGAACAAACTCACTTGCCTAAGGTTAGACCACGTGTATCACATGTGCTTCGTTGTGGGGCAGGACTGAAGCCCTAGAAACTCTCAGGAGTCAAGCTGCCAAACACGGTCACCCATCCAAGAACACTCCGAGCTCGAAGTTGTTTAACTTCAACTGATTTGTGACCTGACCTGTGACGCCACCGCAAATGATCCCTGGAGAGAGGGAGTCAGACTCTCCATCACCACCATCAAAAGGAGGCCGCTGGCCAGAGGAAACGTCGTCCGATCAGACGGCCCTACCTCATAGAGAACGTCTGGTGCGTCTCCGAGCAAAGCCTAACTTGAGGACATGGCGTAGGGTTCACTGGTCTGATGAAAGTCGCTACATGGAGACGTCGTGAGGTGAAATGGTCCATGTCGCCGAACCCTTTCTTGGTGGTTCAGTGATGATGTGTTTTTGTGTTTCGTATGACTGCTCGGTCTCATTACAGTACCTGGGACATTTTTACCAAATTTCAGTTTCCCTACATGGTGACGTCGTAAGGTGGAATGGTCCATGTCGCCGAACCCTTTCTTCGTGGTTCAGTGATGATGTGTTTTTGTGTTTCGTATGACTGCTCGGTCTCATTACAGTACCTGGGACACTCAGTGGTCATCGTTTATCAATTAAAGTACTGGACACTGCCTTGTGCCACATTTTGATAACCATCACCTTGACAGTCGTCCGATTTTCAAGGATGACAGCATTAGACCTCACCGTGCTCGAGCCGTCATTTGCAGAAGAACGCCATCGAGACGTTAACCATTAACCATAAGGAGACCAGCAAAATATGTAGGGATTAAGTCAGGCACTTCGTGAGGAATTGCAGAAGATTCCGATGCTGAGTCGTGATTGCCAGTATGAGGATGTGGTGGCCAGTGGTTGCGCTCATACAATCACAATCATCATTATCAGATTGCAGGCGTAGTCATGGTGACCATACTGTTCAACATTGTTGATATTTCTTGTATTGTAGTTGTATTCCTCACAGATTGCAAATACATTTTTACCAAATTTCAGTTTCGTATTTTGAGTTAATCAGATTAAGGCTTATAAAAGTAGTATTTCCGTGTTTAGCAAATACATAAAGGTGGGAGGTGCTTGATTAAGGCTCATGTGTACACACAGAACTAACTCACTCACCAAAACCCAACTTTGTGAAACGTATTTTTAGTTACTACTAGGGCTGTGTATTGGCAAATAAATTGTATTGCAACATATCGCGATTCAGGTACCCGTATTTCGATTCGTATTGCGATATATTGGGAACTTAAGTGTTTGACAGTAAGTGAGACTTATTGTACATGTCGATCCTACTTTCTACATCTCAAACATGTATGTTATGGTTCTGATAACAGCAATCTCAAAATTAGGTCACTTTGTCATGGATTCTATTTTCCTTTTTATACAATTTATTGCATCACAGTGTGGCGGTTTGTAATTGAATAACGAAGGAAAACATTAATTGTGAATGTAGATTGTGTAGATATTAATTTAAACCATAAAGATAATCACAAAAACTTCATATATGTTCTTTACCCAATATACCGGTTCTCAGAAAAAATATTGCAATACGTACCGTTTGAAAAGCGTATTGCGATATACCGGTATACCGGTAATACCTTGCAGTCCTAGATAATATATTGGACCCTGTGGGAGCAAAATATGCTGGCTGCTGGGGAAACTAAATGGATGGCATGGTCAGGTTTGGTGATTGTCATTATAACCTAGACTTGCACAAATTAGTTTGTGTTAATCAGCTGATCGCTTTTCCATGTTGGCATACCTGCGTTCAGGGCAAGGGATGGGCCGTACAGCACTATCGCCATGTAGATAATCTGTAATGGAAAGTATTGGTGTACAGCTGCAGATGGTTACCTTATCGTTATATACCCGTGAACATCCGGGTTGCAACTGGTTATCAGCAACCCAGGTTCGGCGTAAGAGGCGACCGACGGGATCAAGTGGTCAAGCTCGCTGACTTGGTTGACACGTTCCATCGTATCCCAATTAGTTAGATGGGTGCTCATGCTGTTGATCACTGGATTGTCTGGTCCAATCTCGATTATTTACAGACCGCCTCCATATAGCTGAAATATTGCTGAGTGTGGCGCTAAACAACAAACAACAACAACGTTGTGCATGCAGTGGTCTAATGCATGCATGCAGTGACTGACAATACGACACACCTCCAAGTGGAAAATTCATGTAAATAAATTATCTATTAACATTTCTCCTGTGTGATGCAAGAAATAAATAGACGAGTTTGTTTGACCATACAGTATGGCATACAGTAGTACTTTTTTACATTTAAGCCGACAAAGTCATTTGATTTGCTCTTACCGTCTGGGTACAAAAGATGAGGGTTCCGGCAGTCCGCACTCCCTTGCTGAACCGCTTCTCTAGATACTGTGCAAAAACAAACATGATTGTTACAACAATTACATATTCTTAGCAACACCTACGACCAAAGTACACATTAACACCAAAGATGGAACAGAAGGTACTTTAGATCAATCTACGAATGAATCAAAACAGAACCTTTTCAGGATTTCCAAAAAATACTCAACTAAATAGAACACTTGACACGTGTTGAATTGAATAGCACAATGGACGTAGCGTGTGCGCTATTATGAAAATAAATGTATGTCCACCAGGGGCTCCTTTCACGAAGCAACCTTTGCTAAGGTTAACATTAACGCCAATTCCTTAACACTACACTAAGGTTACCTTAGTGACTTACGATCTCCTTAGTGCTTTGTTAAAGGAGTCCCTGGTAAATAGAACACTGCTTTGTTAAAGGAGTCCCTGGTAAATAGAACACTGAGGATGAAAAGTGGATTGCGGCATCAACAGCCACTCCCAGCGTTGTGTTTTGTCTGACGACTACAGCCCCGGGCTTCAACTGCTTCAACGGATTGTCCAGCATTCAGCCGACCCATGGTACACTCCCTTTGCAGATTTGTGGTTATACCTACTCGCTTTTTGATTAATTCGTTTTGTGTTTAGTTATGGCCGTGGTTTGGCAATTCCATGCACGTGCGATTGCTAAGGTGATCTCTTGACTGGTGCGGGTGATTGTTGTATTTCACCCTCAATGACCAGATTTGTCACGTCGGTCACCAAGACCATGTTCAAGCAACTTACATGACATTGCCGTGAGTATTGTACAAGTAACCACAACGAAACACCCCCTCACAATTATTACCATTAACGTGCGTGTCATGTTTCTCATTGTGCTGAGTATATAATTATAATGGATTGTCATTTGTTATAGCAATCTGAAGAATGAATCCTTGTAAAGTATCAGTCTAGCCCTAACTGGCCAACTTCCCTCGAAGATGATGGATCAAATATTGATCAGACAAATTTGTAATCAGTCCCTTAGCAGTATGATCGATTGCACGCTCGAAGGTACACACAGAACAAGAACTAAAATATCGGTATCATCTAATAATATGTCATCATCTTCATAGCCTTGAATTATGAGGGCGGGTATTTGTCTAGAGAGGTGGTATATATTGAAGAGGGTAGTCCCTGGTGATCAGGACAAGATCAAGGCACGATCAGGGCAAGATCAGGCAAGATCAGGACAAGATCAGAGCCAGATCGGGACAAGATCAGGGCACGATCGGGGGCAAGATTAGGACAAGATCAGGCAAGATCAGGACAAGATCAGGCAAGATCAGGACAAGATCAAGGCACGATCAGGACAAGATCAGGCAAGATCAGGCAAGATCAGGACAAGATCAGATCCAGATCGGGACAAGATCAGGGCACGATCGGGGGCAAGATTAGGACAAGATCAGGTAAGATCAGGACAAGATCAGGCAAGATCAGGACAAGATCAGGCAAGATCAGGACAAGATCAAGGCACGATCAGGACAAGATCAGGGCAAGATCAGGCAAGATCAGGACAAGATCAGAGCCAGATCGGGACAAGATCAGGGCACGATCGGGGGCAAGATTAGGACAAGATCAGGCAAGATCAGGACAAGATCAGGCAAGATCAGGACAAGATCAAGGCACGATCAGGACAAGATCAGGGCACGATCGGGGAAAAGATTAGGACAAGATCAAGGCACGATCAGGACAAGATCAGGCAAGATCAGGACAAGATCAGGACAAGATCAAGCCAGATCGGGACAAGATCGGGGGCACGATTTTCAGATAGCAAGATCGGGACACGATCGGGGCAAGATCAGGACAAGATGTGATCAGATCCGCGCAAGATCAGCGCAAGATCGGGGCATGACAAGACACGGCACTACGGTTTCCGATTTAACATAAGGTACGACTTGTTTTATACACGTCCAAACACGATGGTAACAATGCTAATTAGTGCAATATGCATCTGGAAATAACTTCAGCCATACTCCATTATTTTAAAACCTCCGATTTTTCATGCATGTTCGACAATGTGACATGTGACACGTGACAGACATGTGACATGTGACACATAACAATAATCTCATTTCTAGATACGTCTAAGATGACATATTATCATCACATCATAAGATGCAACAAGAGGAGGATCTAGATGCAGATTTCTGTACTCCAACAGTAGTATTACTGACAAAATTATTCAAATGCCTTATTAAAGGCTACGATAAAACAGTTTGTCTAATTTTTGAGGAAATAGTACCCACAAAACATTTTCAAAGTCATTAGCAATATCCCCTAGAGCAGATTTCATTGTACCGTTTGTCTAAGATATATGATTACATAAGCGATGCTTAACGTTTCAGGTGTATCTATAGAATACTTGTATGGTTGACCATTTTGGCAGATTATGAAACTCGGTGCTCGAGCTGTCAACCACTTGGTTGTGTTACTATGTCGTATTACGTTTTAGTGTTGCACTAAAGTAACTCTGCTATTTCTGACCACGTCTTCAAATTTGATGTCTAAGTCACAAGGGGCGGTGGGGTGGCCTATTGGTTAAAGCGTTCGCTCGTCACGCCGAAGACCCGGGTTCGATTCCCCACATGGGTACCATGTGTGAAGGCCACTTCTGGTGTCCCCCGCCCTGATAGTGCTGGAATATTGCTAAAAGCGCCATAAAACTATACTCACTCACTCTAAGTCACAAGTAGAAGTATCCGTGCTAGTGACTTTCTGCGAGGGATATTAAAGTGTAATGACATTGACTTTATTAACCACTTAAAGACAGATCGGTATATTTTATTAACCTCAATAGACGGAATAAAAAGGTGGACTCTTAAATCTTGCTGAGACTTATATGCAATAAAATAGTACTTAACTACAGTCCGTCCGCAGTGTCGACGAACCTAGGTTGACATTGAGATTGCTATTTTGATACATCTGTAAGCCCAATGTACTTCATAGAAATAGTTTCATCATTAATCGATCCATGTTTCATTAGATTTTGCTTATTGGTACGGTCTATTTGTTAATTTTATTACAACAGTTGGTTTTAAGGTATATAGTTTATCAATCCTTATTTCATACTGAAAGGCCACAGGTTTGTAGTTATGTGAGGGAAGTTGTTCATTCATTCTGAGAATAATAGCTTTGTGAATATTTGTGGACAAACTTTCTAACTGTGTCTGACTGGAATTATTCATGAATGATATAAATTTCAGTTTCAGGATGTATGATAATGGTTCTTCATATATCAACAATAAGTATGCTGGGCAAACACATAAAAAAATAATTCATCTTCGACATCATTTAAGTTGAACATTTGACAGATTCTATTTTCTATCTTAATTCCTTCAAGTTGGTATCTCCCAGTTTCAACATATGAATCATGCGCAGAGCAGCAGAATCGTGAAGATTTATAATTCCTTATATACAACATGACATAATTCATTACAACACTGAATGACTTAACTTTCCGTACACCTGTAATTAGGAGATAAATTAAAACATAGGGTGTTGGAAAATCAGATGTATATAACGAAAATATAATATCTAAAAATTAGATTTAAAACCGAACGCGTAGCGTGAGGTTTGAAATAAAAAAAATTAGAGGCATTACCATTTCGTTATATACCTCTGATTTTCCAACACAGTTCGTTTATCTCCATTCTACCACAACCACGTTATTAAAATTATAAAAATATACATACGGTGTTGGAAAATCAGAGGTATATAACGTGATTATATACCTCTGAATGACTTTGATTAACCAATCACAATCCAGCATATACTGAAGTCATGGTAGAATCATCATTATTTGATAGTGATTTATAAACTTGTGCTCAGGATTTTGTTGGAGTCGTATAAGACGCTCTTAGGTGGAGACTATAGAAGGCTTTTGTCGCCATAATTGTTGATGTACAGATGGTTAAGTGTATTTTAGATAGTTAGGCGTTATTGTCACTCTGGGTATTTCTGCTCTCGTTTTAGGTTACAGTTGCACCCATGAACACGTGTTCTACCGATATCAACATGGGCGATGTGAACGTTACCGACCTCCCTGGGACTATGCCAAAGTCAATATATCCACCCGGCTACTTTGTCATCCCTGCTGACGACATGGTCACCTTTCGGTTGGCAATGTATACGACCATCATGCCTGTAACAGGGCTCATTGGACTAGTGGGAAACGTCATCAGTTTTGTGGTCTTATTACGTCACAAAATGCGGGACACAACCAAGATAGTTCTTCTTTCCATAACTGTCTGTGACTTTCTACATATCATTGCAATGATACTATTCTGTCTGATCGGGGTCACCATTGCTTTAGACTATCAACCTGGATTGTATATCTCAAGAAAAGCGTATCCATATTTTGGATCTTTTCTTATGTCGGTTTTTGGTCGTATATCAAATCTACTGATAGTTGTAATATCACTGGAGAGGTTGTGTGCTGTCCTTTTCCCTTTGAAAGTCAAATCACTGTGGTCAAGGAAGACAATGGGAGCTTCAGTATGTTTCTGCAGTCTTCTGGTTATTGCCATGTTCGTTCCCTATGCCCTGGAATTCGTACCTACGGATTTCCCTAAACCAAATTCGACAGAAATGATCACAGTTCTCAAACTGTCGGAGTTCGGGAAATACCGGGATTTTTATTCTACGCTGTACATCGTCAGAATGTCTGTCCTTCGCTTCATCCCCATCCTTATCGTCATCGTCTGCAACATCACCATCAGTGTCAGTCTGTATCGCTCCAAGTCCGCGCGCTCCAAGATGACGGATCAGAATCGTGACGAGTCGTCAGCAGAACAGCGCATCACTCAGACATTGTTTGGTCTGGCTCTTCTGTTCTTCTTCTGTATGACGCCGGGTGCCATCAATATCCTATCCCAGCTATTTGACTACGAATACAACTTTCCTATAACCCGGAACAACGTTTACAACTTGGTTGGGATACTGGCAGCTTGGCTTGAAATTGTCAACTCCTCCGCTAACTTCATCATCTATATTATTTCAAGCCGACCAATGCGCATGGAGTTCAAACGTGTCATCACGTACAGGAAGTGGACACTTTCAGACCGGAAGTACGACACGTCCACAAGCGAAATAGGATTATCAGCGATGTCGGTTTCAACAGTGGCATAGGGAGTGTTGCTCAAAGCCGGGTTTCGGCCAGTAATTAATCTTTGTTAAGAATATCAATACACCGTTTGAGAGAAACCTGAAACCCGCTTTGGCTTCGTGAGCTTAAAAGTCCCATTCCTTGCTCCTGGGTGGATACACTGGGACCGGAAGTAAGCCCACAGATACATGCCCAGTTGTACAATCAAGTCGCTGCCAGTCTCGATCTAACAAATTCATGAAGATACCTTGCAATGGATGGGAAAGACATATCTTGCTGCAATGGTATCATTTAGGTAAAACATTGCTATCTATTGTGCAAATATAATTAACTGACTTTAGTTAAACCCGTGAAGATCCGGGGTAGAATTGGTCTTCAGTAACTCATGCTTGTCGTAAAATGCGACTAACGGGATCGGGTTGACACATGCCATCGTATTCCAACTGCGTAGATCGATGCATATGCTGTTGTTCACTGGATTGTCTGATCCAGACTCGATTATTTATAGACCGCCACCATATAGCTGCAATACTGCTGAGTACGGCGTTAAACAACAACCGAACAACCAACGTTCAGTTTCGCTTATCATAACCTATATGTTACTATTTTCGTCAAACTATAGTGCAATGTCCATGGCCATCCACTGGAGTCAGACATGTTCGGGAACATTGGTTCTTCTTCGGATACATTGATTCATTCCACGTTTGACCTCTATTTGAAGCCCATTTCCGGTTTATGACTGAAACAATGTTTACACCGGAAAGGGGACTGAACTTATGATGGTGTCATGGATTCGCCAGACAATCCAGGCGGGAGTCCAAGTAACATTTTGTTTGCTTGAAATACGTTGTCTTAATTTCGAAAGTATTTTTCATTTGCTAATGACACGGGTTGAATGTTAGGGTAAAGTGCAAGTCGCATCTGAAATATACCTTACAGAGGCGTTAAGGATAGTTTTGGGTCCAGCAGAGGGTGGACCCAGGATATTGAGGGATTGTGTCAAATTGTATGACCTCTTCAGGTTCAGTGCGCACTGTGATTATTCGATGGTGATGTATTTGATTGTATACTGGTATCATAGTTTTGTTTTTGGACATTACGTTTGCACCGTTTCGGCTTCTGTTTACCGCCTAGTAGGGTGTTCATAACATATTTGTTGTTGTCAAATCAAATTTAATTCAATTTCTAACGGTAGCTAGTTTTATTTTTAATAAATATGTTGTGAGCATGCATTGCGGTTGTTGGTACATATCTACAATCTCTGAAACAACAGTGTTCTTTAAAGGGAGTGAGTAACGTTTGTATACGTAATTACCTAACTTTAGTTTTGCAGATATATTCATCATGGATGAGGCTTTAAGGTATCTGCTGCCTGTGCTGGTCAGGACAAATGCCCATGTATATAGTGCTAGCTCACTGTGCTGCAGTTGAACGAGTAGTGTTTTACGCCGCTATTAGCAATATTCCAGCAATATCACGGCGGGGGACACTAGAAATGGGATTCACACAAGGCCCATGTGGGGAATCTAACCCGGTTCATGGGCGTGAGGAGCGAACGCATTAACCACTGGGCTACACCGTGCTGCAATTGAACGTGGAGAGCCCTATCAGACACAGTTTACGGGCCAAGGGCCGAATGTATTATCTACATTTCTCGAAAACACAAATAATTAGCGACCCGTGAAGATCTGGGTTAGAACTGATCTTCAGTAACCCATGCGTGTCGTGAGAGGCGTCTAACGGGATCGCGTAGTCAGGCTCGCTGACTTGGTTGACACATCGATGCTCATACTGTTGATCACTAAATTGTCTGGTCCAGACTTGATTACTTTCAGACTGCAGCCATAAAGCTGGAATATTGTTGAGTGCGGCGTAAAACTAAACTCACTCCCTCACGCATTCATTCAAATAATTAGCACAAACCTGCCTCAATATTTTGATCTTCTAAAGTTAGTTTGGCAAAGGTTTCAGGTGGAAAACACTCGGGCTAGAAGTGCTCTTCATTAACCAATGATTGTCATAAGACTGAGGCAACTAACGGGATCGGGTGGTCAGGTTTGGTGACGTGGTTAGTGCATACCATCGTATCTCAAATAGGCAGATCGATACTCATGATGTTGATCACTTGATTGTCTGGCCCAGTAACGTTATTTACAGACCGCCATCAAGTAGCTGAATATGGCTGAGCGCGGCGTTCTACAAGCAGTCATATAAGAGGTAGAAGTCTCCATGTATAAGGGGGCGGTGGGGTAGCCTAGTGGTTAAAGCGTTGGCTCGTCACGCCGAAGACCCGGGTTCGATTCCCCACATGGGCACAATGTGTGAAGCCCATTTCTGGTGTCCCCCGCCATGACATTGCTGGAATATTGCTAAAAGCGGAGTAAAACTAAACTCAGTCAGTCCATGTATAAGTTTGTTATCTGAAAACCCATTTGGAACCTCCAACATGAAGACTGAGTAGATTTGTATTGTGTCAAGGACGGCACCTTGACGACACACATACGCGTCACCTTTATAATAATGTAGTAGGTTATTATCACTAATCATTACCTCAGTAAAGACTGTAATCATAATTAGGCGTCATTAACGGAAGTGGATTTTACTAAATCAACTGAACATCTTACACAAGCAAGTCTTGGGGTCGTTACAGTAATTCGTTTTATGTATTGGGATTAATATACCAGGTCGATATCAGTTCCAACAGCAGTTGTTGACAATGAGATTTAAGACGAATCGAATAATTTAACTTCATAGAGGTGCGCGCGTTACTCAACACTTCACTCAACAACATTGTAAATAAACGGGCCTGTTAATTGAGATATTAACATGAGAACAATATAAAACCCATAAAAACAAGTAAAATAACTAATCATCATGAATATCGATCTAGATGGTTTTACTGTGCTATTCGTTTCACAACAGTGTTTGTTAATATGTTTAGACTGGAATCATATTCAAAGGAGGCACAGCTCATATTACATCTCACATATCATGACCTCCAGCAGTTGTGTGGAAATCCGTTTCACCCTGGGTTACCATCCTAAGCAACTTTTGGAAGCCTGACTACTGTTGCAACGAGGTGAATGTCATTTGTCTTTATTGTCTTTATCGCTTTTAGTTTTGTTTGCCATCGATTTTGTACCTCTATTGATTTTGTACTGTCCTTGTTATTCTCAAGCAGAAATTTGTACCGATTTGTTAACTTAGCAAATTATATACTAGTAATACAATTGTTAGCCGTATAACATGTCTTTGTTGTTTCTTGGTTTCACGTTGAAGTTTCTTAAGTACAGGGTGCGGTAGGGTAGCCTGGTGACTAGAATATTGCCAAATGCGCCGTAAAACCATATTCACTCATTCACTTGCTCACTCTTGCGTACATAATTGCGGTTCGCATATAGTTCCATCTTGGAAATCAACATGTAACAATTTACAGGACAATGAAGGAGAATAAAGGTCAGGATGAATTATCGAACTGAAGTCTCAGCTGTTATAAGTACCTTTGTGTCTCTGTGCACTATTGTCAAGTTACTTATGTCGAGGGCCATGGGGTAGCCGATTGGTTAACGCGTTTGCTGGTCACGCCGAAGACCCGGGTTCGAATCCCCACATTGTTGCAATGTGTGAAGCCCTTTATTGGTGTCCTCCGCCGTGATATTGCTGGAATATTGATAAAAGCGGCGAAAATACATACTCACTCACTCACTACTTGTGTTGATATTTTCAAGTACATCGTCATCTTGGCGTTCTCATTGGGCACATCGATTATCACTTACCTCATATGCACTTGTCACTCCAAGGTTGTAGAACACCGGAACATAGATGTGCGCGGACAGCCCCATAGCCAGGAAATAGCCAATCCCAATATAGATGTACACCGTCGTGTGGTTGTACATCTCCGCTGGCGTTCCCAGCAACGTGATCGCCGACATGAAGCTGGCCAGCAATGACATCGCGACGGGAATGAGGTGCATGTTCCCACCGGCTAGTAGGAAATCCTTCACGCTTTTCTTACGGCGATCCTTGATAGCGTAAAATATACCAATTCCGGCGGAAAAGAGCAGGGTTCCACAGAAAATGACGAAATCCAGCCAATGGAACGAGTTCCTCTGGCCGGTCTGGAAACTGTACTGTCGTTCCCCCATCTTTGCTCACTGTACCTGGAGATGTGCCTGAAAACAAAAGCGAGTGTTGTACTGACAGGCTTTATTGAGTAGTGGTGTGAGATTACCATGGGCGGATGCCGCCTTTCATTTGGTTTATCAAAAGGTTCATCAATTACATTGTCAAAACATTTACACAGCTGTATGCGCATCCGTGGGGTCGCAGCACATGACAGAAGACTGACAAGATAAAGACAACTCTAGGGTTACGGATAACATAGCAATAAAATACATGAAACCATAGTCCACAAATATATTGATTGGCAGATATATTTCATCACATTACATGCGACATATTGAAGATATCGGTCGATAGTCATCGATAACGGGCATTGGATTGATAACCGGGGGCCAATATCTCTTATTGTACTGGTCAGATTGTTGAACAAAGACATTTGATGCGTCATTACATTTTTGGGTATCACCACATATCCTTATCAAATCGTACGTAACACGTGTCAACGGTGGCATGCAAGAAGGGTGGCCATTCTTCTTCTTATCAAACTCTCATTGGCACCAATGCCTTTGTTTAAATAAATTATGTTACTATTGTGTCCCTGTCAATGTAACTGGAGTTAGCAATAACAACCTCATTGTCATTCCTATTCAGATGTTTATCTGCAGTAGGTATAGGTATAAATGCGGACACTGTTTATTCACTCCGGTTTTGTGTGTGTACAGTGGTGCCTCTGCTAAGCAGCTGATTCGACAAGCACTCTGATGTTCGTATCGCTGACGTTATTGCTATTACCATTGCTATTGTAATTTCATACTGCCACTGTAAGACTACCGCCATTGTAATTGTACTGCTATCGTGATTACATTGCAATTATTTGCATTTATCTACAGACCTAGTTAATTTATAATACAACTGTTTATTGTGTACAACTTCTTTGTGGTTTCATACTGAATTCTTTTGCATGTACATGTAATTTTCTCTGTTAAATTTATTGTTTCCTCACGTCAGATCCCACTATTTCCCCCACTCAGTCCTCACTTCATATCCCACTATTTGCCCCGCTCCGTCATCACTTCATATCCCACTATTTCCTCCACTCAGTCCTCACTTCATATCCCACTATTTCCCCCACTCAGTCCTCACTTCGTATCCCACTATTTCCCCACTCCGTTCTAACTTCATATCACACTATTTCCCCCACTTCATATATCCCACTATTTCCCCCACTCCGTCCTCACTTCATATCCCACTATTTCCCCCACTCAGTCCTCACTTCATATCCCACTATTTCCCCACTTCAGTCCTCACTTCATATCCCACTATTTCCCCCACTCCGTCCTCACTTCATATCCCACTATTTCCCCACTCAGTCCTCACTTCATATCCCACTATTTCCCCCACTCAGTCCTCACTTCATATCCCACTATTTCCCCACTCAGTCCCTCACTTCTTCATATCCCACTATTTCCTTCCCTCAGTCCTCACTTCATATCCCACTATTTCCCCACTCTGCTCCGTCATCACTTCATATCCCACTATTTCCTCCACTCAGTCCTCACTTCATATCCCACTATTTCCCCACTCAGTCCTACTTCTGTATCCCACTATTTCCCCACCTGTCAGTCTAACTTCTTATCCCACTATTTCCCCACTTCATATACCACTATTTCCCCACTCAGTCGTCCTCACTTTCCCATATCCCACTTCATATTTTCCCCGACTCAGTCCTCACTTCATATCCCACTATTTCCCCCACTCCAGTCCTCATACTTCATATCCCACTATTTCCCCACTCAGTCCTCACTTCATATCCCACTATTTCCCCACTCAGTCCTCACTTCCCCATATCCCACTTCACTTATCCCACTATTTCCCCACTCAGTCCTCACTTCATATCCCACTATTTCCCCACTCAGTCCTCACTTCATATCCCACTATTTCCCCCACTCAGTCCTCACTTCATATCCCACTATTTCCCCACTCAGTCCTCACTTCATATCCCACTATTTCCCCACTCAGTCCTCACTTCATATCCCACTATTTCCCCACTCCGTCCTCACTTCATATCCCACTATTTCCCCCACTCCGTCCTCACTTCATATCCCACTATTTCCCCACTCAGTCCTCTCGCTTCATATCCACTATTTCCCCCACTCCGTCATATCCCTCGCTTCATATCCCACTATTTCCCCCACTCCGTCCTCACTTCATCCCATCCCACTATTTCCCCCACCTCCAGTCCTCACTTCATATCCCACTATTTCCCCCCACTCCAGTCCTCCTTCATATCCCACTATTTGCCCCACTCAGTCCTCACTTCATATCCCACTATTTCCCCCACTCCGTCCTCACTTCATATCCCACTATTTCCACCACTCAATCCTCACTTCATATCCCACAATGTCCCCGAAATCGATGTGTTAAAAAGCTTAGAACATATCAATATCCCTGACATGTGTTTGCAATATGTTCACACCTAAACATGTTCATAGCACATAGTCGCCTAGTGTTGATGTGGGAACTTGCTCTGTCGCCGCTTTCAACATTATTTCAGTTACAATTTGACTTGAGAATCGGTCGTTATATTGCAGTGAAATTAAAGATAAATCAGAATAAAATGAGGAAACGTGTTGTTATTGAAGTGACAGTGTTATTTGTTAAAACAACAACAACTTTGACTGTGTTTCCAACAATTGAAAGTCAGTCAGTCGTATTATCGTTTCTTTCTGTACTCTTGACTCCTTGGAAAATGAATCTTTAGAAACAATAATTGTGATAGTAGAACCCTGAAGACGGTTCTGAAACTGGGCGTAGCTCTACAAATTTTAAGATAGAGTAAAACAATGTAAATGAACAAGATACCAATAGTATTACGGGGGCCATGGGGTAGCCTAGTGGTTAAAGCGTTGGCTCGTCACGCCGAAGACCCGGGTTCGGATCCCACATGGGCACAATGTGTGAAGCCCATTTCTGGTGTCCCCCGCCGTGATGTTGCTGGAATATTGCTAAAAGCGGCGTAAAACCAGACTCAGTCAGTCAGTCAATAGTATTACGTATTGTGCCACGGGGAAACCTGGAGAAGGTATCCCTACATAGCCACGAGGAAACAAAGTACATTGTAAGTAACCGGTTACATTCTAGGGAAGGGTGCCCTTCTTCTTATAACCAGTGATGAAAGTTTCCCACCTACCAGGTGCAGGATAAAGTTTCAAAACATGATTACTGCTGGGCAGACGTGTTTAGTTGTCAGGTTTGTAAATATATATGCCTTTTGTCCGTTTGCTGTTCACCGAGGTAATTCCAGTCTAGTGTCTGCCTGAAACACTTGCTGGGCCCCGGATGAGTTTCGGAGATGACTTCACCATCTGTGCTGCTGACAATGGCAGAGTTCGCGGTTATCGACCCTGTAGATGAACGTCTTGGGGGAAGTGGGTCATTGACCTGGTGGTGTCGTGTTCCTTCAGTTGAATGCCCCATAGTGTAATGATAACATATACCAGGCTGTTTGCTTCTTCATACTTGGAGGTCACGGAAGGTGTAGTAGCGTCAGGAGCCACAATTCGCTATACAGAGTTGCATCCCTTAGATGGGTCAGAATCCTATTACCACAGGTTCGAATCCCGATTCGCCCTGATTATGTATCTAGGTTTTTCAGCACCTCTGAGCTTATGGTTTTCACTTCGTGTTCCTACCACTTAAGATTTCATGCCGTGGTTCAACTGAATACTGTCAAAACAGGACCACTCACGCATAGCAACAGAGCAGTCAAATATCGACACCTATGAAAAGCGACTGGTTTGTGTTAATGCATCGGGATTTCCAATGACGATGTTGTTCAAGCACGCTGTAGTTAATGTATTACATTGGTAATCATTTGTGCCAAGTTTTGAAAAATGATTCATTTTATGGCGTGAAGGTAATTTTATTGTTAGCATAATTACTTGAACTATTTATGTCGTTTCCTAATACCGTAGTAGTCTGGAAGTTGGTATTCCATTCTCGCGGGTTTCCTATTCTCGCGGTAAAGACGTTTTCTGTCGATATCACCGATGCGCGACACGGAGCGGTTGTTAACCTTACCGACCGGTAACTAGGAAGTGGACCAAGTCTGCGAGTGATCAAAATCTTGCAATGTCACGAATATTGGTGAGTTTATACCAACTTGGACATGTCATAACTTTTCCCCGCCCTTTCCGGCATGATTGCTCTTCCATGCACTCCACAACGTTACTTTCTCGTTATACCCCGAGAATGGGAGAAGCCTCATGTCGTCAATGGCGGATGGCATTGTTTATCACCGGGCTCACAAAGGGTAATTCACATGATGGATCTAGCAGGTGATAGATGCAGATGATAGAGGAGAAGGCCCTTCACTTAAAAACAAGAAGCATTCATACGATAAAAATTGTTTGTGTTATTTTTTCAGCCGATATCCGTAAGTACCGCGAGAATAGAAAACGCCATCATACTAGTTGGTACTTATGCTCTACACAATTATTCATTTTGTTAATGTCCATACGTCTAGTTCATAATATCCCGTTTATATGTTGGGATATGTATGCACTTTCTTGCTTGCCATACATTGTGAAGTATTCTATATGCCCAGAATCCTCAGTCAAATGGTCACAGAAAAGCCGATCATCGTGCCATTCCAGAATCATTTGGTAAACAAGACGTGGACCACCCTGTTCACATAAGCTACACTAAACGCCACGTTTCATGTTTTAAGTTACCTATTGAGTGATATGCATAGTTTGGGAGACCTAAATTAGAACGTGATTTTAAAACGAACCAATGGAATCTCCTCTCTGCACATTTCACCAGTATTATGATTGCCAGTTAGCATCGTTCTGTGATTTATTGACTTGCACAAGTCTCTAAGGTAATAATTAATAGTTTGAATGATATTTTCTAAAAAAATATGAATAAAAAGAGCACATTGTCCATCCAACAGACTGTACTGTCTGCTTATCTACCCTTGCTTCTATAAATCATAGAATTACCATACATCCATTTGCTTAGCATTCAGTACAGCCTTGGCGCAATGCTAGGTGATTTAATTAAGTGTTTGGAATGTTTGGCTTCTTGTAACATGTAATGTAATCAAATGAATGCCAGTTTGCTTCACACATCAAGGGCCATGCTTTTTCTAAAAGACTTGTGTTTATCAGCTCCCTAGCATCGCCTATGTCGACGATAGGATCGGATCCATCATAATAAGAAATATTATCTAAAACACAAGTTTCAGCCAGAACTATATTTCATGTTATCGCTGTCCTTTTGACTAATCACAGGCCTCGTGATGTAATATATTCATACACACTGAAGAAAACCTGCTTCGTATACCCAGAAAGAGGTTATCATGCTTGACTGTTTTAGGTGTTTAGGATCCTAAAGGCTAAATATAACCTTTATTGCTGATATAGGATACCCCGCAAAGCTCGCTAAATATAAGAGCTATTCCTAATACAGAATGTTTATCATAACAAAACACATTCGCGTGAAAACCTCGATAGAATTTCGATGATACTTGGAAGTTAACGCGGTTTCCTCGTATAGTTTAGCAGGGGGAAATATCCAATGCATATTCGTTAAAAAACCGCTTTACAGCACAAATTTAAAGTACATGTACTTGACACCTGCTTGAAACTGATCATTTAAATCAAAATGTCAGCTTGGCGTGATTACAACCTGCGAGTTTGGTGGTACAAACCCCCCTCACGCCGGTAACATGTAATCGAGGTTGTGAGTATATAACCTTACGTGACTCGTCAGCCTATTTCTGTTCGGTCTCGTTATCAATTACCGTTTTGCACCAACGGAACTGCTCCGTACCGTCTCAGGGCGGGCTATGGAAATCGGAAACTTATTGCGAGGCTTCCGACACAAACGCTTGGTCTCTGGAACTGTATAATTTAGAAAAAAAACACACTAAAAAAACCCCGAGTTTTAAGACCCGTTGAAATTGAGACTTGCTCCTTTTAGCTTTATAATCTAAGGACGCCAGTCTATTATTTATATTTTTTAGAAATTATCATTTAAACTATTCATTATTACCTTAGAGACTTGTGCAAGTCTAAGTGACAGTCAGACGGATTAGACTGTTCCCTGTTCTTTGAACAACGACTACTTGAGATTGTAATTATTTGTTTGCTTGTTTTGTTTGTTTGTTTGTTGTTTAACGTCGCACTCAGCAATATTCCAGCTATACGGTGCCGTATGTAAAGAATCGAATCTGGACCAGACAACCCAGTGATCAACATCATGAGCATCGATCGACACAACTGGGATACGATGACATGTGTGAGTCAAGTCAGCGAGCCCTGACCACCCGATCCCGTTAGTCGCCTCTTACGACAAGCATGGGTTGCTGAAGACCAATTCTAACCCGGATCTTCACGGGGATGTAAATCTTCGACGTTTGTGTGATCCGTCGAAATATCGTCATTGTGACATATATTGCATGGAGACAGAGAAAGGGAATCAAGTAGAATTCTTTTTATGCCATTACACGGTGTTAGAAAGTATTTACGATTTCAACCATCTCAACAGGCCGTTGTTTAATCAGACTAAAGTACTTTCCAAGCGTGGGAACAACCTCTTGGCAAAGGGCGGGGTATTCTGCGATCACAAATTCTCACATAAGAGCTGTATAAATAAAAACATAATGATTCGCAAATTGGTACCCAATTGGTTCAAGTGTCCAGCTGACAGCTCGCTATGTATACTCACAAAGAAGCTGACAAATCTGCATATACTAAAGCTTTCAACTGTCACACTTAATTCTTGTCAACACCTCACAACATCTGGCCACAGGTTGTTCACATTGAAGTTGTATAACACAGAGGCCTAAACAGTCGCAATGTAGGCCAAACCTTGTACACGGCCGTGTGATGAGGTCAAGACTTATGACATGACATACTTCTGACATTGCGTAAGTACAGAGAAGTGACAAGTCGCTGGACGAGGGCAAACCTTATACTTTAATCCCATCTCATCGCGGCCCATGCTGGGGTGGGGTGAAATTTCCAGGAAAGCTTACGCTGTCAACTTAAAAAAACACATGTTGGGCCGGGGGGTTGAATTCTCAGCACGACTCATGTCATCGTTTCTGATGTGCTCTGACACACGGGCGTCAGATTTCATCACCGAGGTATTCTGAAACATGCGTTTACTCAATGACTCTTAATTCACACGGCACGTTATAACATCCATTTGGTGCTTTTGAAATAAAATACTGTTTCTGAAGAGCAATATTAATTTAGAACGATGATTGGGCTAATTATGAAATTAAGAAGTTATTGGAAGATTGTGTAGTGGTATTGTGAAGCAGTGCTTTGCGAACATTACTGTGAATACATTCATAACATGTACTATGCAAATCAACTCCGTTGTCCTGACAACGCCAGTCTGTAGGGGTGGTATACGACCAGAAGTGGGGTAAACACTCTACGATGACGTCAACAAATATAAAAAAACAAAGGGACGCAATTGGAGATTCATTAAACATATGTTATATTTGGGATCACAGATTCGAGTACTTTTGTTGGTTTAGTCCCATCCGGGATTCGAACCCACACCACCAGAGTCAGCTACCTAATCGTTATACATTAATGTATCTGAAGGAACACACTTCGTGTAAATATAACTCAAAATAGCTTGCAAGAGGGAAATTATGAAAGAACACTTTGTTTTAGATTGATTCATAAATAAAATAACATACTGAGTAATGCAGCGTTCGTCATATCACTTCTATAACTGATGACACTCTGTGCCCATTGCCAACTATATCACATTGCACTGGGTGGTGAAGCTAAGTGGCCCAAGTGCTTCCTCTCACTTTTTATCATCAGTGTTTAGTGCAATCTACGTCCACTTAGTTCAGCCGTGTAGAAACACAAGAATCGCAGTCAAGAACACGGTACCTGTGTTTGAAGACATTGTTGAGATTTAAAGAAACACGGCACTGATGGTTCACATAACTGTACACACAAAAACATACTGACCCATGTAACTACGAGAACTCGTAGCACAAATAGGTCAACCCTTTCTTTTGTTTGTGTACACCCACGTGTTTCTGCAGTTCAACACGCGTTAGATTACAACAACAGTTTAACACGAAGAACGCCGATTTCGAATTCAAGAACATACATCTCTATATGCATAGCAAAGTACAGTGAGGGTTTGCATCGGAGGTATGATAAAGGAAAATGTTCAATCTTACCGCGTGTACCGACGAGAGTCTTCCCAATGAGGCACCTCTGAGCAGATTCCCATTGGCTAAATATAGACTGAGAACACTTCCTGCGAACAGGAATTTGACATACCTCAAATCGCCGCTAGTTTTTTTCCGGGGATATAAACACGCTTAAGTCAAAGAGAAAGCCACATTCGCTTCCAGGCCAAACGAACTTGTAGAAGCTCAACCGCATCAAAGGTTTCACTATCCTTGTGTGAAAATGTCTGTCCGAAGCAAAAAGTTTACGAAAGGGCTAAAGTCGAAGCAGAGTTGAGCGTCCTATTACGCTGACGAAGAGGTTGGGCAAACACTCAAACTGTTAAGACGTTTAGGGGATAATGGATATGGTACGGCAAGGCGATAAAACTCGCCAGCAGCCTCACCAAGGCTATACATTCATACATTTATTCATTTATTACTGGGTGCGTTCTCTGGCGTTGCGGAGCGTAGAAACAACCCATCTGTTTAGATGATGCAGGATTACAAGATTTGATGTAACCGAAAAGAAAGAAATCCTCTGTATATATTTACATGCCAGGGAAACATAAAAATATACATCCAAGAGATACGAATTCATTTACGTGAAGTGTTGATTTCCGAAATAGTTTCAGAAACTAACTGAAGTTTAATGCATCGAGTGTTTAACTTTACCAAGCTACATATCATTGACATGTGAATGAGTTTGTTCTTAATTTAAGCTGCAAGTACACATTACACCATGCGCATGCGCAAAATTGGGGTTATAGATGACACCGCTTTAGAAGTTTCAAAATCGCCCGTTACACTGCCTATTTGGTAACGAGGGGTCATTGCTCACTTCGTCACGTCGAAGACCCGGGTTCGATTCCCTACATGGGTACAATGTTTGAAGCCCATTTCTGGTGTCTGGTGATATTGCTGGAATATTGCTAAAAGCGGCGTTAAACCAAAGCCACTCACTTACTCATTGCTCTCTTCAAACACGTATTGGTTTCTCGACAGGATACACATGTGGATCCTATCACAAAGAAGATCTATTTGCACTTGCAGAGTTTCACAAGTTTTAATTAAATGTGATACTATCAAAATGATAATTTTAAACTTGAATGAATATCTTAAAAATAAATAACGGAAATAACTACACATTATATTAAAAATGCCATTCTTACCTGCATGTGCAACAGAAGGTCATTCACCTGTCCCTGTTTGGCAAAATGTAGCACAATGTGTTTGAGTTCGAGGGTAAATGATATTGTCCTTCATGGCTAGGTACTTCGTGTGTCCACTTTGTTCAGTGTAACCTTCACCTATAGATACGCCTTGGGCAACTCTTGTTGGCAGCTGGGATTCATTTGATACTCCTCCGTCATCCAGGGTCAGACGAGGTTATCAGGTTGATCCATGTTAAGCAAAATCTGACAAGGACCTACAAGCGTTTGGGGGTGAAACAAAATCTTTGGAAGAGTATTTTGCCTAATCTGTTCTGGTGATGTGTTGTAGCTTATCGGGCATATGGACGGAGTTGGTGTTCTGATTTGTCAGCTGCCAACTGCTATGGATCGATTGTTTGATCGGTAATTATCAGTGTTATCAGTGCCATGACACAGCGAGAACAAACACAGTTATCAGTACTAGTTTACCCAGTCAGCTGTGATTTATTCACCCATGGAGATTCCGGGCAGGAATATAAGCCCAAACAACCTATATACTTGTCTCGACGCAATAGGTGACTTCACTGATTGAATGTCTATATGTCTATATGTCGTCTTATGTTGCGTGAATCGAGGCTCTCGTCAATCACGGGATTGTCTGGCATAGATTTATTATTGCCGTCATATCGCGTCAATATTGTGTTGTATTTAACGACAAAGAAAGAGAGAAAGGTAACTTATTTCGCACTTATAACTAACCTTATTTCAGGTTCAATATTCATTTTAATGTTCAAATATGCAGTTCAGTATATAATAAGCTCCATGCAGGAGATCAACTCGCTAAGCAGAGGCTCTGCTGTACACGACAAACCCATATTAACACAAAACCTCAGTGAATTAACAGTGAGTCTATTAGTCAGCCACAGAGTGTGTCTAATTCAGCAGTCAAAAGGGATTGCTTAGAAACAGTTGTGGAATGTTTACAGTGTCTGATCATGAGCGAGTTGGGTTTTAACGCCGCTTTTAGCAATATTCTGTTCTCCGACGTTTTAACGTTTTGGTGAAACCTATGGGCACGTGTATGGTGTTCATCCAGAACCAGTCAGCACGAACCGGAAGTCGAGCCATCACGGGTTTCTAGCGTGTTCAACTGAGAGGACAGGGACGCCTGTGGTCCCCAAAAGATTCACATCAACTACAGATGTACAGATATAGAACGCCAAACTAGAGCATTTGGACCTTATGTATTACTAGGGGTGGGTATTGCAGATAATTTTAATATTGCGATATATTGCGATGCGAAATCATATATTGCGATATGTATTGCAATATATTGCATGAAGTCTCTTTTAACAAAAAATGACTCATAATCGCGTTAATGCTTTATTATAAAGCAAAAACACAACAAATTCACAATGCTCGATTAAGCTTTAATAACAACTTTTAATCATGACAAAATAAAAACCGTGAACTTTTTCAACCCAAATGCTGCCATGCTTAAACCTTTGTCCTAGTATTTGTTCGTTGTTGGGTGTCACCATTTTACAACAATCGCATGACTTCCGGTGTGAAAAACGGATATATCCGAAGATTTCCGTGTGTTACAAAGTTTTTCTAACGCATGTCAAAATACCGGTTTTCAATCAGCGTATCGCAATACGTATCGTTTTGATGACTGAACCGGTAAATACCGGTAAACCGGTTATATTGCACAGCCTTATGTATTACACGAGAAGATGTCATGGTAGGAGTTGACCTCACAACATAACATATCCGAGTTCATGTGTAGAGATCACACCGTATTTAAAATGGTTTTAAAGTGAAGTAGATCCGACAGCCGTGCAATACGGAAATCGAACAGCAGTACGGAAGTCGCCTAAGCTGGCTGCATTGTATTACTATCCTAAGATTAAATGGGTGTTTAATAAATATAGTTCTTGAAATCCATTTAGAAGCTGGACGACATGAATACATGACACGTATTCATGTATTCATTTAATAAATATATATGAGGAAGGTCAGATGAACATATAGATTACAGAATGATCCGCGCATACACATTGAATTATACACAGCAGGACCATTATTATTAATCATACGGCAAATTACATTCAGAGGACTTGAGTACTCATACAAACATACTATGTTAGTGACAATGCATATTCCGCTGGAAACAATAGTAGATCACCTGAGCTGACATTCTTACAAGACACATACTATGTTTACTAGTGACAATGCATATTCCGTTTGACACAATTGTACCTCACCTGAGCTGGCATTCTTACAAGACACATACTATGTTAGTGACAATGCATATTCCATTTGACACAATAGTACCTCACCTGAGCTGACATTCTTACAAGACACATACTATGTTTACTAGTGACAATGCATATTCCGTTTGACACAATTGTACCTCACCTGAGCTGGCATTCTTACAAGACACATACTATGTTAGTGACAATGCATATTCCATTTGACACAATAGTACCTCACCTGAGCTGACATTCTTACAAGACACATACTATGTTAGTGACAATGCATATTCCGTTTGAAACAATAGTACCTCACCTGAGCTGACATTCTTACAAGATACATACTATGTTAGTGACAATGCATATTCCGCTGGAAACAATAGTACCTCACCTGAGCTGACATTCTTACAAGACACACATACTATGTTAGTGACAATGCATATTCCGTTTGACACAATAGTACCCTCACCTGAGCTGACATTCTTACAAGACACATACTATGACAATTAGTGACAATGCATATTCCATTTGAGTGACAATAGAAACAATACCTCACCTGAGCTGACATTCTTACAAGACACATACTATGTTAGTGACAATGCATATTCCGCTGGAAACAATAGTACATCACCTGAGCTGACATTCTTACAAGACACATACTATGTTAGTGACAATGCATATTCCATTTGACACAATAGTACCTCACCTGAGCTGACATTCTTACAAGATACATACTATGTTAGTGACAATGCATATTCCATTTGACACAATAGTACCTCACCTGAGCTGGCATTCTTACAAGACACATACTATGTTAGTGACAATGCATATTCCGCTGGAAACAATAGTACATCACCTGAGCTGACATTCTTACAAGACACATACTATGTTAGTGACAATGCATATTCCATTTGACACAATAGTACCTCACCTGAGCTGACATTCTTACAAGACACATACTATGTTAATGACAAATTGCATATTCCGTTGGACACAATAGAACCTCACCTGAGGTGACATTCACACAAGACACATACTATGTTAATGACAAATTGCATATTCCGTTAGACACAATCGAACCTCACCTGAGGTGACATTCTTACAAGACACATACTATGTTAATGACAAATTGCATATTCCATTAGGCACAATAGAACCTCACCTGAGGTGACATTCACACAAGACACATACTATGGTAATGACAATATTGCATCACCTGAGGTGACATTCACACAAGACATCTATATAACAGTAGTTGTGCATATTACGTAAGACGCAACAGTACCTCACCTGACTTGGTTATTCACACAAGACACATACTATGTTAGCAGCATGCATATTCCGCTGGACACAACATAATTAAGTGTTAACATAATGAATTCAAGTTAGTATTTCACGAAAAGATCTAAAACAATCATGAAGGTATGAAGGTCAAGGTCATACAAACTTGTAGATGTTACCCAAAATACAGCCATGCAGTTAAGATACAAAACAGTACACGTTGCCTACCTGCGTTAATAAACAGTGAGTTTGTCAGTTGGCCACAGAGTGATGTATGACTGACTTGTCCGTTTATATATACCTTCAGTAGCTACTTACACTATCACGATGAAGGTGCTTGTATAAGGAGAAATAACCATTAGGAATGAAATAAAACACTTAGTCTCCCTGTATGGTTTTATTGTACCATAAACAACGACCACGAGTAGCTTATTTCTTAACAACAGCATTATTTACAGCCTCTTTAAGATGTCAATAAAACTTAAAAGCTGTAAAAAATATATACCCGATTGTAATATTGATGACTCCCGAAATACAATCCCGATCTCGGCAACGCTGGCCACGTTCATTTAATGAACGGGGACTATAGGCATTGAGATGGGTGTTGA